AAAATTCTTCTGGCCAGGGGAAGGCCTTGAGCCATTCACGGCCATCCTAGAAGGGTTCCGTCACAATCCTTGGCAAGGCTCTGTTAGAAGCTGGCAAACCTTGGCTTTTAAGCAGGGCACTGTTATAATTGAAATGATCAGTGAGCTGCGTGGGGGGGGGGGGGGGTCCCTGCAATTCTTGGCTTCCCCAGTTCTGTTCCAGCCCTGCCAGTGTTGCGTCCCCGAACGCCCCCCCCAGCCCCGGCTTCTCTGTACTTCAGAAATAATGCAGCGTAATCCATCATTATGATTAGGGATGTCAGGTTTAAGTGGTTCCCTGGTCCTTGACAATTAAGTCTAAGTGTTACTTGTCTGCTTCAAATTCAAATTAGTGAGGCTGGATCAATATCAGGCAAGATACAAAGGCATTTAAAGCGCGAGCAGTTCGGCCGGGCCTGGACTAGGCTCTTGAGCCTTGTTCCTGGGGTGAGGGTCCCGGGCATTCTCTGATTAGCTGGTTTCTTCGGAAACCTCTTGCCACCCAGAGGGAGAAGGGGGAGGGAAGAGGAGATCGGCAAAGAGGAGGCAACGGGCGTGTTCTCCGTCCCCTTCTCTCTCGGCCAAGATGCCTGGATGGCAGAGGCCCCTCTTTTCTTAAGGTCTGGGTGACCCACACCCTTTCCTGTCCAGGTGCTATTAGCCCTGTGGGCTCCGGGAGTTGGGGAAGTAGCATCCTTGGAGCAAAAAGTGGCAGGGAGGAAGGCAGGGCCAGCTTGCGTGACATCTGGCTCCTCTCACAGGCTTTCCGGGAAGGGTTGGGTCCTGGACCAGACCAGCATCTTTGCCCAGGTCGATGCCTTTGTCCAGCGCTGCAAGGATCTCCTCGAGGTAAGCATGGTGACCATCTAAAGTTGTCCATGCTAGCTTCCAAGGATTCACCTCAGGAATGACCTATGACTGCTTGTGTCCGTGGTATCCAGGATGGATCTTCTGCAGAGCAGTGTGGGTTTGCTGGATCTAAGGGTCTCAAGCTCTGCTCATGCCTCGTTTTCCATGGCTCTCTGGGTTCCTGCAGGGCAGAAAAAGGGCAAGCCCAAGAGAGTTCTGGAAAGGGGGGGATCCCAGCAACCTCCTTCTTCTGACAGGTCTGCGACAGCCAGCAGCACTTTGCCCGCTGGGAAGATGGCAAACAGACCCCGCTGCCCTGCTTCTTTGGCCATCAGGGCCCGCAGATGGCCCGGAGTTTGCTGGAAATAGAGGAGACGTTCCATAAGTATCTCAACAATCTCCGGAATGTGAAAGGGGGGATCCTGGACGTGAAGAACACTACCTGGCATGAAGACTTCAGCCAGTGAGAAAGGGTCCAGCACAGCGAGGGAGGCATGCTGGGAAAAGACAGCTCTTCCTGTGGGCTTTGGCTGGAGTGTGGGGAGGGAGAGCTCAGGTGAGGCGGGCAAGGGAGGCCCAGGAAGCCTCCATCAAGAGCTGCAGGTGGCTCCCAACAGCCTCTTCTCCCTTCCTGTATTGTCTTCCCGGGGCATCAGCTTCCGTGCAGGAATCAAAGACCTGGAGGTCATGACCCAGAACTTGATCACTTCAGCCTTTGAGACAGTGAAGGACGTAGAACATGGCGTGGAGATCCAGGACATCTTCCATCACTTGTCATCCCGGGAGGTATAGCTGACCCAACAGTGTCCCTTGGCTGATCCGGGGAGGCAGGGGGCAGCTGGAGGGAGGGAAAGGCAGACACTTCGAAGAATGGCTGTATCCATGCTAAAGTGGCATGCTGGCGGACTTGTGCTCTGATGTCCTTAACTAGCAGTTAAGAAGAAGAAGGGGCTTGGTCTGCCTTGGCCCGGCCCCACCATGACCTGATGCAGCCTTTAGGTCTATTGGATAATGCTCTCGATGCTTGGAAGGGTTAAAGCAGTGTCAAATTGGCAACTTGAAGATGGGCGGACTTCAATTCCCAGAATTCCCCAGCCAGCATTCAAGTTGCCAAGTTTGAAAAACTCTGGGTTAAAGGATGCTGGGGAGATCCAGGAGGAGATGCAGGAGGGAAGGCGACTGGAGGATTTTCAGGCCCATTCCAGCAGGTGTCTTCTCGCTCCTTTAGGCCATCAAGCGCACCTTTGACAAGAAAACGGTTGACATCTACATGCTCTTCAACAAGGAGCTTTCCCTAGTCAACAAGGAACTGAGCAAAAAGATCCCTTTCTTGCCACCGTACATGTGCCATTACTCGGGCATGGCCCACTGGATGCGTGCTCTGAGGCGGCGTGTTGACAGACCCATGGAGGTAAGGCTTAGGCTTCTAGGCTTGGTTGGAGATGGTGGTGGTGACATCTTCCAAACCTTTCCAGCCTGGCTTCCCCTGAGCTCCTGGCTCAGTTGGGTAGAGCCCAGGATGATTGCAAAGGTATTTCCAGATGGTTTGGCGGAAGGGTGCAGCCAAGGTCAGACTGGACTTGGATGAGCCATTGGCCCCTCTTTTGCCATCTTGCAGAATGCAGGATTGGCCTTGTTCCCCATCACCAGGCTATGCTCTAATACGGTGGAGGAATGGTGAATATCGCTCTGTATGTTAAGATTGTCACTTCCCACTGCAATGCACATTAAACAGGGTGGAAGAATCCTACCAGCTATCCTGTCCACTGGCCAGCAAAAACCATTTGGGCCTTTGTATGGCCACAATTGCTGTTCGCTATTCATCAAGCACCCTCATCAATTTTTTTGTCTATTTCTCAGCTATTTACCTCAATAACATCCTCTGTTGCTGAGTTCCTTTTGGCAGGTTTAATTATATGCTGGGTAGAAACAAAATGGCATTCCAGCCATCAATCAACCCCCCTCTCCTCGTGCCCACTTGAAAATTGAAATTGACAAATCTTGAGTTAGGATGCAAAGCAAACTGTCTGTAAATTGGTTTCCTCTGAAATTCCTTGCCCAAATCTTCCTCCAGGACGTATCTCTTTATGCTTATATTAACTGGCAAATTCCTGGACCCCGAAAGATGCTCCCGTGTCTTGCTTTAGATGTGTGTTGTGTAAGATGTGCCAGTCCCGAAACACAGCTCTTGGCAGGAAAAGAGAATGCGTGCAATCAGGGTTGGTGTCTCTCTTTGGCCCTGGATTTCTTAGATGGAGGTGTGGGGAACATAATGTCTGAAGGCAATCAAGGCTGCCAAAGTGCTATAGAAGATGCTGAAATGAAATTGAAATGGCAGGCAGAGAAGGGAGTCGTGGGGAGCTTAGCCTTTAGAGGGGGGCATCAAGAACAGCGAGCAGGGGAGAGCTGAACGTGACTAACAAGTTCAGGGAAGGTAAGACTTTGGAACCCCATGTGAGGCTCTAGAAGGGCCTTGTCACATAAATGTGAAGACTTCATTGGGAGCTGAAGAATCTCAGCTTTCTTCTGAGTTTCTACTGCTCCTGACTGCCACTTGATGGAGTTCAAATGCTTTAAGGCAGTCTTCTTCAACCTTGGCAACTTGAAGATGGGTGGACTGCTGGGTGATGGGTGAATTCCCCAACATGGTGGCTAGGGAATTCTGGGAGTTGAAGTCCACCCATCTTCAAGTTCCCACGGTTGAAAAAGACTGCCTTAAGGTGATCATTCCAGATCCCTAGCCCCTTCCTGTTTTCCTAAGTGGCCCTTAGTGTCTTGTCCTTACTGGTGAGGAAACACAATGGCCCTAGAGTTTTTTATTGCTGTTCTGTCATTCAGTTGCTTGCAAATCTTTGTAACCCAATGGCCATCATATTGCTGGAAGTGTCTGCTAGTAACTGCCTCTTTGAGTTCTTGTAAGGTCCTGCTTGTGTCATTAGTGATGGTCTCACCACCTTGACTTCTGTTCTTCTCTTTCTCAATTGCCTTCCTTTTTCCAAGCATTAGGGTTAGCATTCTGAGTCCAAACTATCAGCTTTAGTGTTTCCAACGAGCAATCTGGTTTATTCATTTTTGCAGTCCAAGGTTTTCTCAACCGTCATCTCCAGCACCTCAGTTTAAGACATCCGTTGTTCATCTGCCCTTTCTGATGGTCAAGCTTTCACACTGTATGTGGGAAAACCACAGTCTTGATAAAGATACAGCTTTGTTGTTAGTATGATATCTCCGCACTTTAATATTTAACCTAGATCTCAGAATTTTCTTCCAAGTAGCAGATATCTCTTTATTTCATGGCCACCATTCCTGGAAATTCCTCAGCCTGGGAAGGCCAAGTCTGTTACTACTTCTTCTCTGCACTGGGGTGGAATTGCCTGTGGACCTAATCAGTAACTTCATCCCACTTACACAGATAAAGGGGCTAAGAGGTTGATAGCCGGGCCAGGATCCCAGCTATGGAAAAGGCTGAAGAATTCCTTGACCCATGAAGGATGTTAATCACCAGCATGGGTTGGGTGCACCAGCCTCCCACATGTCAGCCAATCTCAGCACAGAACCTGCTGGCTGCTTTCTGTGCTGGTCCACCAAGGCTTCCTCACCACTGCCCCACCCTGTCCTCTGTTTCCCTGCTCCACCCTCCTGCCTTGGCCTCAGAGTCCACTTGCTGCTCGCCTATCAGCCTTACGAGCTGGACCAGGTCAGGAAACTGACTCCACGGGAAGACTAGAACTCTACTTTATTGAGCTAGGCTATGGTAGCAGAATCTTGTAAGTCCTCCCACATCTTCCCTTCCCTCCCACTTATACCCCCATTAAGTCAGGGGGGAGTCAATATGCAGACAGGCTCCCCCCTGCATATGCAATCCACATACCATTCCCCAATTGGTTATATGGGCTGTGACTTATGGGAGTTGTAATCAAAAGCATCTGAGGGTATCCGGTTGCCAGTCCATGGATGGAAAGCAGGGTGGCTGCTCAGATGATATCTGCAGAATGGCTGGGCCAGATTTTGGAGAGGGGAGATGAGCTTGCTCCTCTGTTTGTTGGCTGCTGACCTGCCTTTCATTCTTGGAAGGGCGTCGGTGCAGCGCCCCTTCCAGTTCTACACCTCTCGCCAGCACTGACGAAGCGACCCCTTGCTAGGAGAGCTGGCATGTAGCAACTGACTCAGCTATGCTAATGACAGCTGGTTTTTAAAAACATTTCTTACTTTATCTTGGCACCAATAATTGGCCTGATTTTTCTAGGTGACATATGTTGTTTTCTTTATTACACGCACCAGAGAGAGTCTAATGGGCAACTGGGAACTTATTTTCCAATTTCCTGTTGACCAAGCAGAGAACTAGGTGAGCAGAAGACTTGGGAGTGGAACGTTGGAGCTCTGGACTGGGAGTCATAAAGAGACCCAAAGGGATGTGCTCCCACCAGAACCTGTGCTTTTGCAGGCCCCAACTCAAGTGCACTAAGACCTTGGGTGTCACTGATAGGATTTCACGCATGCACAGGTAACCACCTCTTTCAGTCTCTTCCGACACACAAGTGGGCTGTATCTGCAGGGAATTCATGTAGGCCTTCCTTCCCATTCTGGCCTCTCCTGCTATAGTTGCATGCAAAATTTCCCCCACCACCGCCACTCGGCAACAAATTATATGATAACACAGGCTCTACATGGGACAAAATTAACCACAGCAACCTTTTGCAAATTTGAGTACATACTTATTGTTTGTGTGCAGTTGTTTACATATTTAAAATGGTGAATTGGGCAGGTGCAGAAGTTTGGACACCCTTCCAGTCAGTACTTTGTAGCATCTCCCTTGGCAGAAATAACATTGTTATTTCCTGTAATCTTTCGGACCTTGCTTTTGGAATTTATTCCCACTCTTCCTTGCAGAACTCTTCTAGCTCAGAAATGTTCTTAGGTTTCCTTGCACACACTGTACATCTGAGATCTCCCTGGGGATTTTGGGTAAGATTCCAGTCAGGGGACAAAAGGCCATTCTGAACCCGTTGACTTTCTTCCCTTCCCTTTGTATCTTTTTTATCCTTCATGGTTGATTTGGAGGTATGTTCCCATGTATGTGAGCAGCTCGTCTCCTTTTCCGTTTGCCCAGTGTCTCACCAAAGCCCACTTTATCCCTCACATTGGGACTGGAGAAGAGAGCTTCCAGGCTTATCAGCTTCTGGTGCAGGCCATGGATGAGATCGAGAGAAGGACCTTCCAGGAATGGACCCAGGGTTTGGACAAGGACAGCTTGAAGCGCCTGGATACCCCTTTGCTCATTGCGAGCACTGAACAGTCAGGAATGCTGGATATCAATTTTGACAAGTGAGTAAGAGGTGCGGGAACAACCAGAGTAGGCGTTTGTTGCCCTGGTGGTCCACCACTTCTTCATTGAGCCTTCATGCTTCCTTTTCTAGGCACTTGCTAAAATTATTTGTGGAAATCCATTATTGGGAAAGGGTGCTCTTTGAGATTCCCCATTATGTGGTGGAGGTGTACGAACGGAAAGAGGACTTGAGGAACCTTCGGGAGAACTTGCTGCTGGTGGCCCGAGACTACAACAGGTCAGCTGCCTGAGTTGTGTGGGGTTTGGAAGGTTCTCATGACCTCCTTCCAATATTGGAATCGCTGTTATGGGATCTGAAATCCCTGCCTATCTTGTGGGAGGGTAGACAACTACCTTAGCATCATAGCCTATCAATCAATCAATCAATCAATCAATCTATCTATCTATCTATCTATCTATCTATCTATCTATCTATCTATCTATCTATCTCGATATGTTGCACACTCTTCCTGCAGCGGGTAGGCGTTGTCACTTGAGGCCCAGATGCCGATCCTGCTCCCCAAAGCCCTTTGGTTCAGATGGTTGAGAAACAGTAAGACCAGGGCTGCCTTTTTGGCACTCCTCCCTGCTTCAGTTGAAGTCTGGGATCTCTGGATTTGGAAACCGGAATGCCATCCTGTACAAAACCGAGAAGCCGTCTTCATTTGGCGCGAGTGATTCTGGACCTGAGCATTCTGAGCAAAAACGGTGGGGCGGCCAGGCAGTGGCGATCCCTCACGGCCCCAGCTCTAGCCTTACCTAATGCCTCTTTCTCTTTTGGAGGAAGAGAATGAACTCTGCGGAGAAGTCCTTCCTCTAATCCTCTCGCAGATTAGACCTGCCCACTCCCTCCTGTGGGAGAGCCCCCCTCCAGGCCCTTGATCGGTCCACGCGGTGCAAGTAATCTGGGCTACTAGCCATGGGGCCCTTTGTCTGGCAGCTGTTTGCAGTGAGGGTGGTCCACCAGAAGGAGCTGCTTGAAACCAGATAAGGCAAAGTGGCGCATCGCCTGGGTTGTCCTCTGCCCGCAGGGGAGGGAAGAAAATCTTCCTCGGGGAAGCGAGAGCAAGGGGAGAAGTCATTTCAGTTGACTTCCTGAGATGGTTTTCCGGAGGTGTGTTTGGCAAGGAGCGTCTCTGTTTTTCTGTTTTTTTAAGTGTGACATAGAGGCGTTTCTCTGCTGAGGAAGTGTGGTTTGAAACGAGCTTTGTCTTGGCAGCTGTATTTTTGTCATGACACACGTGTAAGCATTTACTTCCTTTGTGCACGTTTTCCTCTCCTTGGAAATTAATTAGAGACCAAGCCGGTGTTGTGGGAGAGAATTGGGCAGCATTCAGTTGCACGTTTGCGTCAGATCTGCGGATCTGCTCAGGAAATATTGAATGGACCTGTTCATTACCATCATCTATATCCAGCACGGGTTTGGGCCAGGGCAGCTGGGGGTAATGGGGTTGGTAGTCCAAGATGCCACCATGGCAGGGAAAACTGCAGGAAGGAGGTTCTAGGAGGAGGTGAGGAAAACCTGTGCAGGGTTGTGAGTCCTCCTGATGGGCATCTGTGTTCAGAAGCAATCTTGCTTTGAAGATCAGTTGCTGAGGGAGCCTTGAGGGACTTTCAGGGTTCGGTTGGGCAAAACTTGCCTGTGTCCTTAAGAAAACTTAAAGGTATTAGAGGCCGAGCAATTTGCACTGGCCTCCCTGCCAGAACCTGCAATGGGAATGATTTATGGAAATGAGTAACATCTGGAGGAAGCCTTGGTGCTGCGTAATGTATTTTGACGGCAAGACTTGGAATGCGTAACATTTTGGCTCGTTTTGGTCTTGGGGGAGGATGAGTGGATCTCTCATGCCTTCCACCCTTCGCTCTTCACTCAGGATCCTCAGCATGCTGACCCCAGAGGAGAGGGGCCTCTTCCGGGAGCGCATCCGCTACCTAGACAGAAAGATCCAACCTGGCTTGAAGAAGCTCCACTGGTCCCTCAAAGGGGCAAGCACAGTCTTCATCTCTGAGTGTCGCCTCCATGCCAGCAAGGTCAGGACATTGGGCTCCTTCACCTCTGGGCACGTCTTGAGAGACATGAAGAACCAGGACCCACTTCCCAGTCCCCTGATAGTCATGTCTGTAGCAATTTTGCCTCCCTCCCAGCTGCTTTGTCCACTCAGAGCAGTGACGCTGTGAAAGTTGGAACACAACAGGGCAGGTTGCCCCTGTTCCAAAGGTTCTGCTTGGGCAAGGATGTCCCTGCTCCCCTTAACATGGGAACCATGGCATCACACTTCCACCTGCTTCAGACCTACCTATCCTGAACTAGGTTTCACCTCTGCCTTGATAGGCCTCTTTTGTAACCATCAGCCCACTTCTTGGGCCAAAGCCACCTCCTGCCTCTAAGCTGCTCCTCTGACCACTGCCTCCAGGACCGAGGAGATTCCCTTGATAGCCCTTCTGGTCTCTTGGGTCTGTCATGCCTTCTCCGCTTGCTGTTCTGAGCGTGGACCGGTCTTCTCCCACGTCCACTAGGAGCTGCCTCTTCCCAGCTTCTGTGGCTCCCCTTCCATCTTCTCCCCTGATGCCCTCCCTCTCTCTTCTCTTCCCACAGGTGCAGAACATTGTGAATGAATACAAAGCTGCCACGTTGGCCATTGCTCACCGGGCCCAGCAGATGAGCGAGGCTCTGCTGGTACGGATCACTGGTAAGCGGGTCTACAATGACCTGGAGTTTGAGGAGGACCAGAAGGACCACCGGGACCTGGTGCAGAAGAAGCTGGTCACTTTCCACGAAGACAGCATCACCATCATGCGGCAGACATACGAAGTTTTCAAGCACGATGGGCCAGAGGTGAGGAAGAGCAGCGAATATCCTTCAGCAAGGGGAATCCACAGGAGCAGCGTGCTTGAAGGACGCTGGGCTGAACTAAACAGAGGCACTGAAGCTCCCCGTGTGCTGCTTTCAGAAAGTACTAGCAGCTGGAAATTGGTGGCCAGAGATGCACTGGAAGAGCTGTCTGGGGAGAAGCCCTGGCTACATGTGCAGTTGGAAGGGACGGATTGTCCCTTAATCTGGTGATGCCCAGCAGCTGTCTTTGCTGTGGAACGTGAAGGCAAAGTGGCACCTTTAGGAGCCTGACGAAGCCTTCCTTTCTCTTGCCTTGGTGGGCTGAGGTGCCTGTTCTGCAGATTCCCAGTTGGCATTTCTGATGCCAGCCAGGCCCCTCTTCTCCAACTCTTTCCCAACAGGTCCAGCAGCACTGGTTCAATTACACCATCCGGATGGACAGGATGATGGAGGACGCCCTGCGACTGAACGTCAAATGGTCCCTGATGGAGCTCTCCCGGGCCATCAACGGAGATGGCAAGACCAGCCCCAACCCGCTCTTCAGGGTGAAGGTTATTCTGCAGGACAATTCCCCTGGGCAGAACCCCCAGGTGAGCCTTTCAGCTCTTCTGAAATCTCAGAGCTTCCTCCTGAAACGAGTTATGGTGGGGAGTGTGTGGAATTATGTGCAAAGGCAGCTTTTCCTGGGTAGAGCTCTGCCCGCGGCAGAACCAGAGGACAACGTGTCATTCAGAGCTCACGTAGAGACTCTTTCACCGAGAACCTGGAAGGAGGTCCATCTCCTCTTGGGCTCGTGGGCCTGTCCTCAGCATCTACCACGGGATCCCTGGAAAAGGGGCATTTTGTTTCTAACAGAGTTGGGTGTCTGGGACCCAAAATTTAATTTGGGTTTAAAAATATTGCAGTGATTTTCGTTCTTCCTGCTCTAGCCTCGTTTCTGGGCGGGCCTGTTCTTCTTGAGGCTCCTTGTTGTCCCTGGTCCATTTTGACTCCCCAGCTGGTTTCTGCTTTCCTAGGTGGAGTTCTCCCCCTCACTCCTACAGCTGGCAAATATGGTCAATGACATCAGCACCCACTTGATCTCCAGCATCGCTGTCTTCCGGCATCTTCCAGAGATCCTCGTCCGGCGCAAGTTTGCCCGCGATCCCATTTCTGCCCTTGTGGGTAAGACGGCCTCCTTGTGTGGGTGGCTTCTTCTCCCCCACCCCCCAGGATCTGTTGGGAGTTCAGACACAGGTCTTCAGAGACACCTCTCACTCTGTGCATGCAAACTCTGGGGTCTGTGTGTTTCCTCCTCCATAGATTAGATGAATGCGATAGCCTGTCTCAGTTCAGACCTTGTTTTGAATGAAGCTAGGTATAAAAGCAGAGATGGGGAGGTGGGAGCCATCCATTTCCACATGAGAGAGAATCGTTGTGTACCACATAACTGGGAGCTTCAGCTGATCCAGAATGCTGTGGCCAAGTAGTTGTGGATGTAACACCTCTGCTTTATGAACCGAACTAGTTACCAGTGGCTTCCAGGTGCTATTCAGGGTGCTGGTTCTCACCTACAAAGTCCTACAAGGCATAGAGCCAAGATATTTGAAGGGCTGTCTCTCTCTTGCTGTTTCTGCCCATTCCGCAAGATCAGAGTTGGGATGCTCCAGGTCCCAGCCATTTCAACCATGTCATCTGATGGAACCCAGGAAGCCTACCTTCTCTGTGGGCCAGGACCATGAGCTCCCTTTGTGAAGGTTTCTTATGTCTTTTCCCATCTTGTTTTGTCACTTTGGTTTTTGATCTGTATGGTACCCAGAGTCATTGAGAAGTTGACCCACTTTAGAAAAGTCAGTAGTACCTCAGTCCATGTCTGCTTCCTCCCAAGGCCATCAGGAGAACGGCCGAGTATCCCTTAACTCAGAAAGGCAGAAAGAAAAAGCCTAGAGTGGAAGGCTCCTTTGCACTGGGATGAGCAGTGACTGGAGGATCTAGCCAGGTCATGTCTGAGGCTCCCCTCCAAGTGCTGAAAAAGGGATTTGGGGTCCAAGGAACAGTGATTTGCCACATAGTTGTGGCGTGGCACCTGATGCTAGAGCAGGCATGATGTTCATACACAAAGACACCATCCCTCATTTATAATTTACCACGGACATCTCTCCTTAGTCCTTCAAAGCAAGCAGCATCTTGGGGTGCTTAACAGAGATTTAAAGCAGGAGACGGTTGCCACAGAGAATCGATGTGTTTAACAGACAGCAATTCCAGAAAAGTGCTGTAAAACAACCAGTTAAGATGGAACACAGAAAATGCTGGGGGAAAGAAAACCGTGCACCATCTTCCCCCAGCTTCTCTTTCGTGGCCTCCCCTTCGATGACCATTTGCACAATGCAAAGAGGGCAGGGGTGGATCCTTGAGGGTTGTGAAGCCACGGGGGCTGCCAGCTGCCTTGCCCACCTGGGCTGCCTGCCTTCATCCTGATCCGAGGTGCTGCCAGCGAAGGAGGATCACGAAGATGAGCCAAGGCAGGGCAGCGGGGTGGCTTGGCACAGGGTTCTGAACCCGCTTTCCCAAGAGCTACTGGCTGTGAAAAGGAGAAGGGGAGAACAGAAACCTGTCTTTGACCGGGACTGGCTTTTGGGGAGGGGGGAAGGTCGGTTAGTTCTGGGTGGGAAAAGCAGGAGCATCAAGCCGGCGAGCTCCTCACAACGGCCTTCACGGTGTGGCCCGGAAGGGCCGAAGGAGAGGATTTGGGAATGCTGGGAAGGGCCTCTGGCAATCCAGGAGAGGGGCAGGTTCTGGACTCTGGCCACGTGGGAACTGTGTGAATGAGGAGGAAGAGCGCTTGCCTGCTCCCTGCTCTGGCTCTGCTCCGGTTTCAGCCTTTTCCTGGGCAGAAGCCCAGAAGGCTTCTGTGTTCTTCTGAGGCAGCAGCGGCTGCTTCCCCTATGCCCGGCTTCACAGATGTGAGTGCACGAGGCTGGTTTGCTTCACTGCGTGTGATTCAGGCTGCCGGGAACGCCATGGAAGTCTGGAGAAATGAGCCTTGAGTCAGGCGGGCCTGCGCTGATCATTCCAGGCTGGGTGGGATTCCTTCCCCACGCTCTGAAAAGGGGGAAAAACAAGCCATTTTGTTTGCGCCACGTTCCCTTTTTCTGAAGGAAGCCCCACGGCTCTGTTTGACTCCTGAGGCTGCGAATGGCAGGGAAGACATTGGGAAGGGGACAGGGTGCGCCCGTGCCATGCTCCGGGTCCAACCTGGACCCGTAGCTTGGCGCCTTCTGCACATTGAATTTCCTCCCACCTCAAGAGCTCTGCTTCCCAGCACTGCCAACTTATTTTGAATCTGAGTGGCCGCCATTGTGCAGAGCGTCATTTTCTGCTTGCAGATCCAGCGGGAAGGGGTCGTCCTACCATCAGCTTTACTTTCTGTCCCTCTCCCAATCGTTCCTGGCATTGGATCTGCATTTTGACACATAGACCCTCTTAATGCGCTGCTCACTTGGGGATTGCTTTGCACCACTGTGCATCACTTTGCACCTCCTGACACCGAACCCCTTTGTGGATTAGCAGCTTGGGTTTTCCTTACTTTGAATAATTGGGTGTGGGCATATCAGGGCCAATTCCAGATGATTTGTGCTGCACTAAATTGCTCCCATTCCAAACTGATTCAGAGGTTCCATTTTATTTGTCCCTTTTTTAAAACGGTTAGTAATCCCACATTGGCTGAATGTATTGAGAAGCCTCTGGGGAGGGACGTGATGGAAAGTAACTAGTATATCCCATCTACCTGCTTTTCGGGTCCAAGGGGCGGTAAGGCAGGACTTCTCTTTGTGCAGGCCCTACTTGTTCTTCTCAGCAAGCAAGGGTGTCCGCTGGGCACCGTCAGAAAGTCAAGATGGCAGCCATGCCAGTGGATTGAAGCTCTGCACCACCATGCCTGCCAAGCTGACTATTCTGACCATACCCGGCGACACTAGGCTTGCTTTTTTTATGTGATTTAGAAATTGAAACTTTAATAGTGTTTTCCAGACATTTCCATATCTTGTAAATGTTCCTTCTGCTTCCTCTCACTCTCCATTTCTTTTTGAAGGTGAACTTCCTGCAGACTCTTCTTAGTACAAAAGTTGTGTTTAGTGATCTGTTTGTTAGAAGAGTAGCAACTTCAGCTTTGTTCTCTTTAGGTGTCCTGTTATGATCACCCTGAGTCCCTGTGACTGTGTTGGTTATTGGTGGTGAGTCCTAGGAAGTCCTGGGAAATTATGTGTTTCTTGTCCCTCAGAGCGGGATGAAGACGTCAAGAAAATCCAGGCCCAGATCAACAGCGGCATGCAGAGCAACGCCACCCACCTGCAGGCCTACCTGAAGACCTGGGATGTGTACCGAGAGATCTGGGAAGTCAACAAAGACGCCTTTATCAATCGCTACAGGCATCTCAACCCACTGGTTTCATCCTTTGATGCTGACACTGCTCGGTAAGGGTGTCCTCATGGCTATGGGATGGAATAAGGCTACTGCCCCCTGCTGCCACCAACCTAGAGGTACTTTGAAGTCTTTAAGAGAGCCTTAAGAGATCTCTCCTCCATGAATTAACCAAGTTCCTCTTTAAAGCCATCCTGGTTAGTAGCCATCGCTGTGTCTTGCAGGAGTGAATCCCATAAGGTGTTAAGCACTTAAGACTAGCCCTGCTCAATCAGGCCAAGGCCCATCCTAGTCCAGCATAGGTTTTTCATGGCGACCTACCAGATGCCTCTGGGGACCTCACAGGCAGGAGATGACATTCCCCCATCCTGCCATTGTCCTCCTGCAAATGATATTTGGAGGCACCTACCCCCTACCTCAGAGATAGCATGGAGTCTTCTTCAAGTCTGCTAGCCTTGATAGATATGTCCCTCAGGAATGTATCCAATCCCCCTTTAAAGCCCTCCAAGTTGGTGGCCATCCTCACGTCTGGTAATGAATTCCACAAGTTAATTATGCGTTCTGTGAAGAGGTACTTTATCTCTCCTAAATCTCCTTTAAGTCAGCTCCATTGAGCAATTAGATGCTTAAAACCTTTTCTGTGCTAAGCTGATAGCATGTTTGTGTGTGTGTGTGTGTGTGTGTGCACGTACGTGCATGAGGGGGTGATGGTGGAGAGACCGTTTAAATCCATGGTTCAAGTGATGCAGCTGGTGGAACATGCGAGCCCCTGGATCGCATCCATGAAGAACCAGCCCTGTGGGAGGTTGAAGGGCTCCAGTTCCCAGGAGAAGTGGCCAGGCGCAAGCAGTAGTGCCAGCCAAGGCTGATCCAGAGCCACTGGCCCACGTATGGCCATTTCAGATCTTCCCAATGGCTAAAGAAGCCAAGTCAGGCCAGTCTCTGCAGAAGAGTACGCTTGACTTGAAGGCCCGGATGGGTCATGGACAGGGCTGAGCATGGAAAGGGGCTTGGACCTGGTGGGAGCCTGTCCATCTCTAGTGGCCAGGAAAGGAGAGGAAGGATAGAAATGTGGCGGTGCTCCCTATGAAGAAGGCCCCCGACGAAACTGCCATGTCATATCTCCTTGGCTCTCAGTGGGCCTCAAGGACCATCCAGGTCTGTCCAGCGAAGTTCCATGGCACTGTCCACCCCTGCTGGGGAGAGAGTGGGGAGCCTGGGGTTTTGGGTGACATCTCTGCAGCTTAGAGGGCTGGTCCAAGCAAAGTTGGGGCAGGGTGGACCGGAGTCTGTGTCTCCCCTCCCCTCCCCTCCCCACCCCACCTTGGGGCTGAGAACTCTCGGTGCCCCCCTCCCTCCCTGCCAGCGGAGGGCATTCACGGGAGGAGCGGAAGAACCGGGGCAGCAGGGCCAGCGCCTGCCCCCTGTCTTTCCCCACGAAGCCGTGGACGTGCTTTCCATTCCTGCCCTGAGCCGTGGCGGAGGACCGCTGTGCGCTGCTGCGCAGCTGCCCTGCCCACTCCCCCAAGGAGGCTGGAATTCAGCGCCGCTTGAGCGATGGATTTCGGCAAATGAGCAGCAGCAGGAAGAAGAAAACCTGTTTCCATGCAAATGTCAAAAGCGATTGTGAAAAACCTAAAGTGGGGAGAGAAATGCAGAGTGTCTGTGTGCAAGTCGGATGTTTGTACAGCTCTGCCCCTGGAGACCTCCCATTAAGAGCTTTGTAAACAAGATCCAGCTGCTGCAGGAGACCAGAGGCGCTCGGAAACCTCCGCCCCTCTGGAGACCTGGCCCAGTGGGGCTGCGGGGGGGTGGCCTTGCTGGGAAAAGCAACCTCCCTCTCTCCCAGCCATGGGAGGCAGTCCCCTTGCTGGGGCAGGGGGGTCCCCTTCTTAGAAAGGGGAGCTGGTGTGCTTGGTTTAGTGCCTTCACTTTGGGGAGGGGGAATAACGGTCCAGCTGTCTTTGATCAGTCAAATTTAGTATTTGAGTAGGGTCCCATCCACATATTTAGGTATTTTCTGAACGTTTAAAATTTAAAAGGAGGCCCAGTTGAAGGAATGGAGGTAAGGGAGAGAGAAGCAGAGGCCGGATAGTGCCCAGAGCAGCAAGCGGGGGGGGGGGCGTTTTGCGAGTGATGGAGTTGGGGGAGCAAGACCGGGAGCTTGAGGAGGAGGCCTTGTGGGCTCGGAGCAGCGAGGCATAGGGGGTCTGCGGTGAGGAGAGGGTGGCCGACGTCTTGGCAAATTGGACGATGAAAGCAAAGGAGTGTGGGAGACATAAAGCAAAGCTGCACGTGGTCTTTGGGAAGGCAGCATCCTACAGCCCTAGAACTGGGGCGTTGGAAGGGGCTGCAAGGACCACCCAGCCCAGCCCTCTGCCACGGGCAAGAAAACCAGCGAAACTATGCCTGCGGGGTGGCTGTCCGGCTCCTCCTTAAAAACCTGCCGAAGAGGAGAATCTTGGCCGGAGGGGAAAGAGAAGGTCTGTGTTGCGCTTGGCCCTTGGCCTTGGGAGCCGTTCTGGGACTGGTCCGAGCTCCCCACCTTAGATCTGGCCGAGGCATCTCCTCTCTTGCTCCCCTTCCCTTTCTCATCAGTCCCTTCCAGCATCTTTTTCTTTTTGTCCAGCCACCAACCTACCGCAGAGGTCAGTTTCACTTTGGCAGGGGAAACTGGCGAGGCCTATTTCCGGATGGAGGGGCAGGTCAGGCTCTTCCCGCCCAGCCAGAGGAGACCAGAGCCAAGCAGACTCGCAGCTGCGCATGAGAGGCGGATAAAAGGAAGGATTCACTCTCTGAGCCTTTAATCTTTCCATAATCTACCAAACAAGCCCGTGGAGGGTTGTGGAGGGGGAGAGAGGAAAGGGAGAGGCTTTCCCTCCTCCCACCCTGGGACAGCCCCTGGCCCGTTCAAGGGGGGGACAGGAGGGCTGGAGACCACGTCTAGGTGGCTCTTCTTAGCCATGCACAAGCGGAAAGTAACAGCTGCATCCTCCGAGGTCCTTGTGTGGCGATCAGGTCAAGCCAGGGACGGTAACCGTGCCCACTTGCCTTTTCGACTTCGTTTTGTTTTCAGCCTGTTTTACAATCTTAGCATGGGGGGGGGTTTCTTGAACATGCTTCTGTAGCACCCTCTGATGAATTCCCAGGTTAAAGGCAAGAAGGGGGGGAATCAGCCTCCCAAACCCAAGCAGCCATCCCAGGATGCTCTTCTGCCGTGTTGGTTCCACACCTGCAGATGGCGAGAAGCCGTGGCCAAGGGGAGCCGGGCATCGCGACACAGCATAAATCTCTTTGGCACCCCAACTAGCATCTTTCCAGCCAGCTTGCACTCCGTGGTACCGACTCAGCACTTCTGACACGCCTGATTTAGAGGCCCAGCCTGGGAAACGTCTGGTTTGGACCCATAACGGGGGGGCTGGCACAAGCATGCCGTAGCCTCATCTATCTCTGCCAGGACCCACGTTTTGACATTGCCCCCATTGGTCTCTGCGTCTGCTGCTGCTGCTGCTGCTGTTGCTGCTGCTGCTGCTTTTTTCATTCCTTTCCCCTTTCTCCCCCTTTTCTGTTAATAAAAGTTTGGCTTTGTGCTTGCAGTGACCCATTAACAGGGAATTAATTAATGAAACAGGAAGATTTAATAAGTTCCCTTGGGGCTGGAACGATCCTCCACCTGCTGGCCTTCCTTGCTTCGATGACTTGGGGAGAGAGAAGTAAAAGCTACATTTCAATTAACAAATCATTCTAAAAGTTCTTCTCCTGCTCCAAACCGCTCCTGTCAGGTAGCTGAGGGACATGACTTTGCCAGATTTCCAGGCAGGCAACCGTTTTTCACCACCTCTGTATAAGGGAGGACGGTGGGAAAGGCGGCTTTTCTTTTTGCTTAAAAGCCTCCCCCCCCCCGGCCCCAGGTTTTGCAAAGGTGGGAGATAAATCAGATGAGCTTAGGGTTTTTTGAAGTAGGTCGTAGGATGCCTTTTGTCGAAGTGAGTTGAGATTAAGGATTAGATTAAGGTGATTCATTAAAGAAACCCCTGAATTTATGTAGGTTACATCCAGGTGCATTAGATTCATTATTGTGCCGCCAAAACATCTGCTCTTCAGCAGCTCCGCAGCCTTCACTGCATGCCAAAGAGCCAGACCATTCTCTGCTGCTCGCCCAGTTGGGCTGGGGAAGGGAGGGGAGCCCTCTGGGGGCCCTTTGGGTGGGGTTCTGGTGGTCCAGCATGGAGACGGGGTGCTGGTTGCCCTGAGCCCCAAAGGGGTTTCCCCGTCGCCTGTGAACCGGGCTGGGGCAGGGGTCATGGGTGCATCAGGGCCGGGAGCTCTGGCCCTACTGCTCCGTTCCAAGTAGCCGGGGTGCCCTGCTCGTTCTAGGTACATGGAGGTGGCCAACAACGTCCAGAAGGAGGAGACGGTGCTGAGCATCCAGTTTGTGCTCCTGGATTGCTCCCACCTGAAGGCGGCCGTGGTGCAACACTGCAACGAATGGCAGAATAAGCTCACCAACCTGCTGAACGAGATGGCCAGCAGCCGCCTGAGGGAGCTGCATGCCTACCTGCAGGACAATGTGGCCAGGTGAGTGCCCCGCGGCCGCTCGAGCCCCCCAGGGAGCTCCCGGCACCTTTCTCTTTGCCCCCCCCCGGCCTAAAGCGACTCTTTTGCACCTGCAGGATCAACTGCCCTCCGCAAACCCTGGAGGAGCTTAGCCAAAGCCTCCAGCTCCATGAGACGCTGCAGAACGAGCTGCCCAAGATCGAAGGGCAGATCCCCCCCATCCACGAGCAGTTTGCCATCCTTGAGAAGTACGAGGTGGCGGTGGAGGAAGAGGTACGTCTGTCACTGAGCTGGCCTGGCTGATGCGCCCCGGAGCGCAGTTTTCCTTGTTCTGCCGAGGTAGACACCCTCAGTGTTACGTTAGGGCGAAAGGAGGCAGAGGATGATGGATTGATGGATTAATACCTGGGGAGATAGAGGAGGAGGAAGGGGGCAACCTTCTGCCTTTGTCCTCAGACAGGAGAGCAGGTTCCTGGAGCTCTCCAGCAGCAGCCGTTGCCTCCTTCTTCCCTGGTAGCATCTTGGTCAGCTCCCCCCACCCTCGACATTGTTGTGCTTCTCTCTGCTGGCCCTCACCTCTTCGGTGCTCAATGCCCCTTCGTCTTCCATCACACCAGGTGCTGCAGCTGCTGGGAGAGCTGAATTCGGAGTGGCTGGCCTTCCAGCAGTGCATCCTGGACAGTGAAATCATGTTGAAGAAGCACAAGGAGAAGTTCAAGACGGGCCTGATCCACTGCGCAGATGACTTCAAAAAGAAGGCCCAGAATCTTCTACAGGACTTTGACTTGAATGGTGAATGGCCCCAGGCAGCTCCTCCTCTCCCTCCTGGCCCATTGTCCTCTTCCCACTGGCCTTCTCTGCAACCACCTTTCAATCCCTTGGGGAAGAGCAGTGAAACATTAGCTGGGGCAGGCTGGTTTCTTTTGGGTTTTTGGAGGAAAGCAGTAGAGCTGCTGACTCCCTGAGGGCTTCTAGTGGATAATCTCTGGGTTCCTCAAGAGGAAGCCCCATTCAGCTTAAGGGAACCCAACAGGGCTGGCCCTTTGTTCATATTCTCTTCGGGAAGGAAAAGGAGACACTCCGCCCAGGCCCAGGCTCACCTACGTCTGAGCCACAGCACCCTCTAGAGCAGTGCTTCTCAACCTCGGCCACTTGAAGATGGGTGGACTTCAGCTCCCAGAATTCCCCAGCCAGCCAGGGAAACGGCTTGGCTGATCATCCCAGAACATCTGAAAAGGGTCTTGAACGTCCTCAAATGGAGGGAGGGGGCTTCTGGATGCCTGGCAACTCCACAGTTCCCAGCTGTTGGGCAAGGTTGGTCTAGAGCAGTGTTTCTCAGCCTTGGCAGCTGGAAGATAGGTAGACCATCTTCAAGTGGTCAAGGTTGAGAAGCACTGCTCTACACAGTAGAGGTCTGTAGTGGTTGGATCTGAAGTAGGCGTGGGTGCTTTGGATCTGATGATGTGACTCTTGCATGCCTCTACTGCAGAGTAAAGAGCAGCTAGCCACAGTGGCAGAGAAGCAAACTGAAAGGTTAGGGCAAAGGGTATGTCCCTTAAAGGCAGAATCTAAACAAAGATGGTGATAAAATAAGATACATCCCAGGTCACTTGCAAGGCAATGTGGAGGATCAGCATAACTCAGAGGTTGTTGGTCTGTCCTCTCTCCTTTTTCTCACGCACCAGCTTTTTTTCTCATTTCATGACCCATGAAGTTGCTTCAACGCTCTCCCCCACCCCTGTCCCTACCCCACGCCGATACTGTAAGATCCAGTGATTTTGCCTCCCTGCAGTCACAGGTAGCCCCCGGGGCCGGTGCAGATCCGTCTTTGATTTGCCGGCCAGCCCCGGAGAAGGCACAGAAGTTATCTGGTTCTTCTTTCCTTCTCTGCTGGCAGGTCCTTTCACCAGTGCCATCTCAGCTGATGCTGCCCTGGAGCAGATCTTTGCAATGAGACAATTGCTGGCCAGCATGAAGGAGGAGGAGAACGCCCTGCGCTCTAACCTGGGCATCTTCAAGATCGATCAGCCTGCCTCCAAAGACCTTCAGAAGTTGGAGAGGGTGGGATGACTTTCTCTGGGTCTGCTGGTGACCCTCTCCAGAAGAGGAGAGCTCAGCTCCGAAGCTGGGCCTCATGCCCCCGGGGCTTTCTTCTGTGTTCTCTGCAGGAGCTGGACTACATCCAGCAAGTCTGGGAGATCACTAAGGAATGGGAGGTTCACTGGGAGGAGTGGAAGAATGGGAGCTTTAAGACCCTAAAGACAGAAGTGATGGAGAATACTGCCTTTGCGCTTTCCCGGAAGCTGAATAAGTTGAGCAAAGAGCTTAAGGCAAGTGAGAACAGCTGGCCTTGGGGTGTGAAAAGAGGGAAGAAGTATGATTCAGGAGCTCCCCCATGGAGAATGATGTTCTGCAGGATGGGCTCATCATCTTTCTGTGCTGCCCCTTGAACTTAAGTTCTGCTCCAGGGGTGGGGTTGTGGGGAGGGAGGGATTCCCTACTCTGTGGCAGTACATCCCAGGTCAACTGAACTGAGGTTGAGGGAACCAATAGCAACAACTGGCAGAAATCAGCCCCAAGCCTGAAGTCAAATGCTTTTCAGTTTTCGCCATTTAATAAGCTTTTGCCCCCTCTTTTGTGACCTAAGGACCGGAACTGGGAAATAATTGAGACCTCCAAGACAAAGATTGAACAGTTTAAGAGGACAATGCCCTTGATCACTGACCTCAGGAACCCGGCTTTGCGAGAGAGGTAGGTGACTTGATTTTGGCCAGGAACTGCTGTCTGGGGTTGGCTGACTTGAGGAACACTGACCTTTTATAGGGCCAAGAGAGAACTTTGACCATACAGAGATTGTCTCAGTGATGCAGCCAAGGCTGCAATGGAGGATGGAAGAACCCACTGCTCCCAGTGATGTTACTCTATCGCACCATGTTCACGGATGTTGTACTCTTGCTTCCGGCTTCTTCCTCGGTCCTGTCCATCAGGCATCCTTGTAATGGACTGCTGGTAGCAACAGCGCTTCAGACTAATGTACTGACTTCTCCCACAAGGAGAAGGTCTGCCTGTTGAAGAGCAGGACTGTTAAGTCATCGGAAATGAATCTCTATGGCAGAATTCAGTTCCCAGGAAAGAGAGCTCCAGATAGATAGATGATGATAGGATAGATAGATAGATGATAGCTGGCTGGCTGGCTGGCTGGCTGGCTGGCTGGCTGGCTGGCTGGCTGGCTGGCTGGCTGG